TGGACGGAGAGGGTAAAATTGTCGGCTCTTCCTCAGAAGTCAGTCACCAATCTGAATACCAGAGGGACAGTTTGACTGATGCACTACGACTTGTGCGCAACTGTTTGAATGTGATCAGTCTGGCTGAGCGTGGTGTCGCCACGTCGGATATCGGTGGAGCCGAGAGCACCAGTTTACCGCCGGCTTTGGATAATCTTAAAACACGGGCTATCTGGCTACTGTGTCGGCTCTATTTGGCCACACCTTACAATCTGCTGAGTAGTTGTATTCAGTTACTACAAACAGATATCAAACCAGGCTTTGGGGTAAGTTGGAATTATGGCCCACGGATTTTTGTTGCACACCGTCAAAAAGTGATGTTTATGGAACTTAATTGTGTGAATTAAACAGGTTTTAAGCCTTTCAAAGAATTTCTTTTTACCTCGTCGAACGGTAATTGTTTAGTTTGCTCCCGGCCTTATATAGTTCTCATATAGTTCTTGCACACGGTCATGAGAACAAATGCACCTCCTCCCACGACGGAAGAAGGTCGTCGTGATCGGCCTAATTCGGTTGTGTTGCGAGGATGTTCGGTTTTGGGTGGGACGTTCAGAAAACATCACAAACAGTGATTGAAACACAATGACAAGTTGTCAACACACTATTCCTCCGAATATTTTCTTGCGAGATCATTGATGTATACCATTTTTGAAAGAATACACACAGTAAAGATTTGTCAGCAAATTATTTCACCAGAAAGGAATCCATGGGTAATTGTTGCTCGCATTATCGTCTCCAACACAGCGGCTTCTGTCCCACATTTCCACATTTCCCACATTTCATGCAAAAGTTGTAACGGTTGATTCCCATTTGTCACTGTTACTTTTTACACTCATCTTTCCCTCGTTCGCTGTCCGTTCATCTTTCATACAGGCGATATGGTCAGTCATAGATGGTGAGAAATATCCATAGCTCCGTGGATTTCGAACGCGGACTCATCGGAAAGCACTATCATCATTGTATATAGTAATTGATTAGACTATATCGCCACTCCACGCACATCAAATACAGAATTAGTTTTCTCTGTTTTTGAAGCTGCAACAATGCCCGAGGACTGTGGTATGATTTCCCACTAACTAAAGGACTGCGTTTTGTACGCTTCCATCTTCTGAACACGGCTTTCCTGTGGGGGCAAGTGAACAAAACTGCTGCTTGTTTGTAGCAGTCCCGCTGCATTTGGGCTACTGCACTTGCATGTGTAACAAATACCGATGCTGTCTCCAGCAAAGAGACCGGAACATACCGGTGATATTGCAGTCCTAGTCTTGAGATTTGCTATGGATTATTGTGATCCATAAAGCCAAAGTATCCTCTGGAAAGGGCCTCGTATACACCTGAAGTAAAGCAGGAACTAGGTTACTGTTAGTCGCATGAGGATGAGAGTATAAGTTGCATTAGGTTTGACTCGTCTCCTGGCTTTGACTGTTCAATGTCCCCACCGGAATGGTTTCCAAGATGGAGGCCGATTTCAATCGTCCATTTAATGGTACCATATTACCCAGAGTCTTTCAGATTATTGGTCGAATTCTTTATTAGAGGATCTTTTTACTTCAGGTCACCGGTATTCATAAACCAGCCGATATTGACCGAATCATCTTTTGAACAGTGCAACTTGTGTGTGTGTCCCTATCCTGCTTACACATTCTCACTTACCTTGTATGCATTATGAGTTCGGCAGCAATCAGTGAAGTTCGCTTCACTATATTACGCTGTACACTGATGACGATAACTTGTGTGTTGTAATTCTGTTCCGTTTGACTCTTTCAACAGGTTGTGAGCATGAATGTGGAAGATTTGTCGAAACCGGGCGAATCTGAGCGTGACACAAACACATCCCCCAATTCCGATATAACACAAGCTTGTGACGAGGATGACGCTGTTTTAATGAAAAAGAAAACAAACAAACAATCTTCCAAATTCAATCGATGTCTTCTGGGCAATATGCTGTTGGACGCATTCAAATCTTCCGATACTTCCCGCATATGTGAATTTGCGTCCAATGTGAGTTCGTTTTTTCCCCCCACCGTCTATCAACATGCATCGATCTCCTGAGCTTAATGATAATTTCCATCAAATTTTTGTAATTTTATGTGGTCTCTCACTGAGTAATACTGCAGCTTTCTAGTTCACGTCGTGCTCACTAATGAACATGCCTGTGTGGTCTATTTCTAGGCCCCACTGCCTTGTGGGTCAGACCGCTCAAAACTCTGGCGCTACCTTTCCCCGAAGGGAGTGCCCGAGAGGTTAATCGCAATATCATAATCGCTTTATACTAATAGCCTAAGCCGAGTCCGAGTTTAAGGCACTTTTTCACCCGAGTTCACCATGGAAAGTGGTGTTCGACAGGGTTGCCCTCTCTCTCCGTTTCTATTTAACTTTGTCATAGATTTAACTCTTGAAACAGCTCTATCCTCGTGCGAG